TGATTGAGCACGCGCCTTGGTGCTCGAACAATTAGAACAGAAAATTGAGGAAATGAGGCGGAAGATTCAGCCATCCACAACTGTAGCGCACGAGAAGTGCGATGATCAAATGAGTGAGGTGCAGCCCAGAACTTTAGAGAAGGCTAGCACGTTTAATGACAGCAGCAGGTTCGACGGTGAACCAAATTTGAGTGCTGCTAAAGATGCTGCGCTGCGTAGAGAGGCCGACAAAGGCCAGAGCGAGTGCGACAAGGTGCTGTGCCAGTTAAATGCTAGCGAAACCGCTAGGATAGCGGTAGAAAAGCTGGTACAGACCTCAACTGTGTTTGTCGCGACGGTGGATCTTGTAAACAATGTGGAAGTGATCAAGGACGCCGGAGTTAGCTCAAAAGCAGCGAAAGCAGAGAGTGAGAAGAACAGTGCAGTAGCAGACAGCTCTTAGCAATGCGAGCTAGAGTGTTTGAGGGAGGGCAGCTGCACTGTTCCTAAGAGCGTCAAGCTGTCCGCCAGTCTAGAGTGTGAAATAGGTGGTTTTTTTGAAAATCATTTAGACTGCGCGACTGAGACAGCTGACGAAAGCTGTGAGAGGGCTCACGAGTGTGAGTTGCTATCGGAAAGCTCGGAAACAAGCCGCAAGAAGCGGCGCAGACGCAGGCGACGTCGAAGAGTTACGAGCGAGACAAAATGCACTACGGGTGTAAAGAAAGGCTCGACACGTTTGAGCGTAGTGAAAAGAACTAGGTATTCTGCATCGGCGTCGAACTCGGCTTGCATGCGTCCTAGCCACCCGAAGAAAAATACAAAGAAATCGGATTCGCAAATAGAATCTCGGGTAAAGCGGCAGTCTTCGGATTTTGTCCCCAGCAAGTCTTATGGGTTACCTTTGAACTGTAACAATGCCGATGACTCAAACCGCGACCAATTTGAGACCAATGAGGGAGAGGTCGGTCGCAAACGCCGCCGTAAAAGGAAGAAGCGTACGCGAGAGATAAAGCGAAGGCATGGAAGAGGTGGCAATCAGCCGGGCGGACGACGAGAGAGTAGATTACCGGCCAGTTCAACAACAAGGTCTTTGTGTCGGGCAGTAAGGCACAAGCGGCGAACTCGTAGTGTACAGCGTGCATCTTCGCGACGGTATCCGTGGTGGAAATTTAGGGCTTTTTATGGAAAAGTGTCGACGTGGTCCTAGAAGAAAGACCACAATAGCTAAACACCGCTCGGCTAGACCAAATAGGACACCGTCACTCTTTCCCTTGCATTGCTCGGGTTCCCTCCGCCGGATTGACAGAGGACGGCCGAAATCGCAAATGAGGCGTGACGCGGCCGTTCAGCTGGTAGCACGTGCACGTTGTTGCCTCGGGCGTCCTCGCAACCAGGCAAGACCGCGACCGGCGCGTGTACGATTGAAGTGAGGGACAGCTGTAGGCTGAAGAAGGTGACACAGAAATTTACGGGGAAGCATCTTTGTTTGCTTATTTTTGGTTTTAAAGTAATATTCCTTTGTCATCTCCCCGGCTAGTTTGTTTAGTTAGTTTTTCCCTTCAATGCTATTTTGTAAACTTTGTGAGGGATTCGTGTTAAACTGTTAAGTGTTATGCGGGAGCAGTTACCCCATCAGTCAACCGACTGCGTAAAAGGAGTTTTTAAGATAAGAGCACGCATGTCGCAAATGAAGTTTTGGTACGCCCGCTACATTTGAAAGAGTGGTGGCTATAGGTTATAGCGATATCACCTATGGTGAGGTGCATGTTGGTATGCTAGCGCTCTTTGGGTGAAAGTAAGATGTCGTGCTAGAGCGCACAGCAAAGTCATGTGCGTTCTTTAAAAACATGGGCTGACATGAAACTACATCCAGCAAATGAGCGTGTTAGTACACGAGTTGCATTTCCCTTTGTGATTTTAGTATGTGCTCAGGGATCAGGTGAAATTCTTTAGCTGAGCATTATGTTATATACCGAACGTTAAGATTAGGGATGCGTTTTTATTGTTTACACAGTTCGGTTATTGAGAGAATAGAGAAGGCGCCCAGTTACCTTTTGTAGGTTCAGGCCGCATATGTGTGGGATTTAGGTATTGGGTTGTGTTTCATGAAATGAGTCCTGAATTTAAATGTAAGTTACAACTTAGTAGTGCGGATGGTAGGAGAAAGCTAGTTTTGTAAAATTGGAATTACGGTTATATGGGGCCAAATTGTGTTTGCCTTTGTGTGCTTTTCTCACAAGGCAATTTGTTCCATCTTTAGTAAGCATATCCACATCCATGATTGTTGTAACTTTGGCGGCACAAAATTGTTTCAAAATTTTAGCGTCCAGGTTTCTCTTTTGTTTGTGTTTCGAGAAGCCTGGAGGGTTGTAAGCGGGTCCAATGTGCTTGACTGCAGCATGGTATTGTGTTGTGTGGTTCGCCTTGCTGTTGTCAGTCATTGTGAGCTGGATTGGGAGTTGGTTTCGAGTTCGCAGCTGGAGAGAGAAAAGCCAGGCCATCGTCCTCGTCACCACCCATTCTCTTCGTGCCCAGCGGTTGGGAGCGCTGGCCAGCAGAGATTTTCCGGGCGGCGGAGGAGCTGTTAGGTTTGGCCTGGGGATTCGTCTCTCAATCCCTTCGGCGCCCAGTCTGACGGACGCTGTCAAGTATTTGAGTGATTATCCAGACCAGGTGGCGGGCAGAGGCGAGTCCCGTCCTTCAAGTGCGGACCCTTTGGTCGTCCCTTCGAGCAGCAGCGTGACTGATGACCTCGTCGACTCGTCGGGCGACAGGAGGGCTGGCGTGGCCGGTGCCGGAGCTGACCGAGGAGCGGCGCTCCCTTTTGATCCCCATTCACCAAGCCGACCGGCCGGCTGCCTATGCTCGTCATGCATTGTACGTGCTAGCCGGAGGACGAGACGTCGTGTCGCCAAGACGCCGTTAACCATTCGAGAGAGGCCAACAAAGACAGCCTCTTCCTGGAGGAGACTGACGGCCACCGCAGATCACCCCGCTAATTGAGCGAACAAAATCGGCGGACCCTTTGAAGTATGCTGCCAGGATCGTGGGAACTCTCGAGTGGCGGCACACACACGACGCGGAAGAGCCCTGCTGGCGCCACCACAGTGCAGTGTTCACGTGGACCTTGCATGCTCGCCTCCCTCACCTGTGTGTGCGTGGTTGGTGTTCGACTCTGAGAGGAGGAGCCTGACAGGGCATAAAACGACGCGGCAGAGTGCTGGACATCGGGCTCTGAACTATGTAACGTTCAACCACCACGCTCGTGGTTTGTGAAACCACTATCCCTTCTTTTCTGTAAATATGTGTAAATAATGTCATAAACCCTGTTTTGTTTTGCGTATCCTCTTGTCAGCGTTCAGTTCCTCCACCCGGTTACATCAGGGACATCACCTGCAACGACTTTCCTTCCGTCAACCTAACACTACACATGAGCGCGTACAGCATGCGAGCAAATACATGGGAAGGCGCTAGATGTCGTCTGCTCAGAGACCATTTAGCAGCTTGTTTCAAGCGCTGTACGGCGTCTAGTTATGGCAGTATAAAATAGTAACTGCAACCAAAATATCTGTCATGTCTACCGATTGATGTTGCAAACATAAATCTGAAAAAAATTGCAATGTATGAGGAGCTATGGCCATTTTTATGCATCGCCTCCATAGAAGCGCATGTAAAATATGGCAACACGCCGAAAGTGTCATCTGCTGAGCTTTTGCGCAAACCGCATTCTTCTACGTCGCTATCGCATCGCCCTCGCACGCTGCCGCGGACGTGTAGTTAGTCTTCTAGTATTCTTGCTCCTTGACAGTGGGCCCTTCAAAGTAGTGAGTGACCGCTAAACATTGTGTTGGCTATCTACCTTCGAGTCGCCTTGCACGAAAGAGCCTGAAACTTCAAGAATTTAACGTTGCCGTCATTCACAAATCTCGAAAAAAACGCTTTGATACCCACTGCTTGTCCCGTGCCTCCGTCAAAGCACTGCTGCAGGACGACCCGGATGATGACTGCTTTTTGGGAACCATCAGGGCTGATGATCAGTCATGCACAATAAGCATGTGGTTGTAAGCGCTGTATGTAGTGTGTTGTTTCTCGAGTGGAAGCATGTGTGAATGCTTAGAGGGAGGGCCAGGTTGCAATCCCGATCCTGTAAGAATTTCAGGACAAAAAAACTTCAGTTCAATAAGTACTAACAATATGTTTGTATGATTATGCATCAATATTAACACTAAATTTGTTATTCTATGGTTATTCACCACTCCTACAATACATGTGTTGAGAAGTTATATTGATCAGATTGCTTGGGAAATTATCTCGGAGCCTTTTAAATATATCAGAATAACACCTTTTTGCATCGATGCTCAATAATTCGAAATTTAGGTTTTTAAGAAGTTATGCAGTTTGTGGTGTGCTTGTTGCTTAAAGCATGTTTCATTGGGTAGTAACTAGTTTGATATTTGTGATGCCTGTGCAGGAAAAGAAATGTTCACAATGATTTGTCTTTTTTTCGCACAAGTCTCATTTATACCTGCAACCAACACTGGTTGTGCCACCAAGTCTCAAAATGACTCCTTTACCCAGTCACTCGCTGCTCGATTTGGTGACTCTAGTCACCAACCTCTGAACTAATCAAATGTTCTGGAACAGGACATCGGCTTATTTTACAAGGCAATGACACTGCAAACAGCGGTGCAATCTGTGTTACAATGGGCATAGATTGCATGCAGGTGTGAACATCGATCGCAAAGCCTCTTTTTTTAATCATCGCTTGCTAATTGTCACTCTAATTGTGCTAGCCACTGCTATGAATGATCCTTTATCCTGTTTAAGGTAGTTTATGTGAAGACCCCAATAAACATGTTGGTAGTGAGTGTCAGTTTCATGCTCTTTCTAGCCATTGTTCTTTTTTTAATAGCTGTTCACAATGATTGATTCATACCAACTACGTCATGCCGATGCCCTTCAGAGTCATGAGGTGCCATGGTGTGCGAAAGTACATAACCAAATCTCTCTCAATGCAGCGCGAGTGGAAAGGCAAAGACAAGAAGAGGCATCGCAAGGAGGGTCGCAAGAAGCGCTGCTTTATCTTATAGGACAGGTAAGTGAGGCTACCCTTCGGATGGCTTTACACAGTATTTCCAGAAATGTGTGCGCCAAAATGTAGAGCCTAAATGCAGTTTACATAATAGCATTAGGTTTACTGCATTATCATATAAAATCGAGGTGGCCTCAAAACCCCTCATTCTACTTGGCATCTACTTCTGCATGTATACAGTGAGCGACCTCATCATGGACTCTAGTTGGTAACGGGGAGACCCCACTTAACCTTGCATGGTTTACACATGGGTTTAGTTCGTTTTGCAAAAATTCCAGCGTTGACATGGTTGGTTGTGAGCAAAAAATTGTCTTTGTGTGACCAAATAATAAAAAAAATGCAAATGAAATAAATTTTGGCTCTGAGTGGGGATCGAACCTGGGTGGTTGGCATGGCAAGCGGGTGTTCTACCACACAGCCACGCCTTTGCTTCTGATTACAGCAGTAGTGGGAAACCTGTGCCAATTGTGTCAACCTGCGCCAACTTGAAATTACAGCGGCGTACTACTTCAAAAGGGTCTTTTTTTTTGTATAATTTGCGCCATTGCTCGGTAGTTTCATAAGAGCAAGTATGCAGAAAGTATGCATTGACAGCATGCATAGTGAGCGGGTATTACGAGTGGTTGCTCCCTTGTACACATGCGCTGCTGTAAAAGCAGAGAATCAGCCGTTCAGTTATTCAGATTTCCACACGATTATGTTAGTGTCATTTCTGGTAACCATCGGCCAAGGAACGAAGGCAATGTGGCGGCTACGGTAAATGCGCTAGATGGCTTCTCGCCGGCAAAAAGCTTACATGTATGGCATAGCGCCGCTTTAAAGGGAGATGCTACTCGAAAAACGATTTTCTTTAATAAGAGTCTGAATTTAACAAAAATTGGCATGCTAATAGTTTTTTCTCCTCTTTTCAAATGTCGTTTATTTTCATGTAGATTACTTGGTTTTCTTTCTGCAGGTCAGATACTGCAAAATTATGGCCATTGTTATGCAACAATTCTGACCTATAAAAATTTGAGATAAAGCATGCAGATATAGCTGACTATGATCCTTTGGAACTGTAGAGTGCAAAAAACTATATAAATTTTGTGTGTAAAAAGGTGAAATACAATAATAAAATAGAAAAATTTACTATGGCTCTAATCGCCAAGGGCTTTCAATGTTATGTAATTTTTGAAAAACATAATCAAGCAGCACTGACAATCTGAATAGATACTTGCACTCTATAGGCCTTCATCATGCTATGTGCAAAATTTCATAGAGGTATGACAATTCTAAGTATACGAACTAGCGTGTATAAGAAGCACAGATCACACAAAACTGCAAAAGGAGAAAAACGCATTTGAAAGTTTGAAACCTTTTTTTTTTATCACAGAGTTGTTAGAAATGCATAATCTTTGGCCATAATGTTTAACAGAACTTTGAAAAGCACTGCAAGTTACTAGAACTGTCCTGCAGCATAGGTTGTGCCCTCACGGTCCTTGCGAGCACTCTCTTCTAGCCGTGCCCTTTTCACTCCACGACGACGGTGGGCCCTTGCTTCTGCTGTCAGACGCTCGGACATTCTCTTGATGCGCCTCGCATCGCGGGAATCACTGAAAGTAACTAGATCTCTAGATGGCAGTATGTTGAGCTCTTCCAGGATGTGCTCGAAAGTAGCATGACCCTTGTTGAACCACAGGAGTGCCATAGCTGCGGCAGTCTCGACAACCGTTCGGGAGACAAACTTAGTCTTGGGGCAAAGTAACCAAATTTTGCTGTTCAGGGATTCCGATGCGTTCTGGGTTTTCCCTTTGATGCATCGAGCAAGGAGCTTCTCATCCGTTAGCCGCTTATAAATGGGCGAAACAGCCAATCCCTGTGCTTTTGTCAGGAGAGGTGTGTGGCGTGGTGCAGGTTCACCAAGTGCTTCAGCGCGTTGGTGTTTGCACCACGACTCTGTTCCTGCAGGGCAAAACTTGTGGCTGCCAGCATTGTCAGTAGAGCATGAGTGGAAGTACGAAGCCCATACTGCAGTGTACATATACCGTACAATCCCCCTGTTGCTTGTTATGGCAATCTGATAGTATGTTTGGAGCTTCTGAATGGCTGGCTCTTTCATTTTCTGCCCTCGTAGTAATGGCACATGCAGCTTCCGTAGCGCGGTGCCAAGTCTCTTGGCCACATGATTAGTGCAGTCTTCTTTTTCTATATTGACAGCACCATAGACTTTTGAGTCTGCAACTGCACTATATGCTTTGCTGTCACCGTCACTCAAGAATGTCATGAAATGCAGTGGGGTGTCATAAGTCAATGTTCTCTGCCAAATGCGCATTGCAGCCTCCGTTTCCATGGCATGGGAGGAACAGTCTGCATTTTTTTTCAGACTAGGCCATAGAATGCCTGCCACACTTCCTCGTCTGGGCCCATATCCTTGTGCCTACTGCATGTCAGGCAGTAATTTGATATGACCTCGAAGTCTAAGCAGAGGCCAGTATCTAAGGAGATAACTGCGCCAATCCCGTTGTGGCTTTTGTGGCCCCTCTTCTGCCTAGTGCCGTCGAACATAACAGCCACATCAGTTTCGCCTGCTACTTCTTTCGTCAACTCTCTGGATCGGCGCAAGTTTTCACTCACAGCTGCCATGGCAGCGGTGTGCACCTTCTTTGCTATCGAAAAAAAATCCTCGGTGGTGTATTGGCTTTGGGAGTCCAATAATGGAGCAAAATCTCGACAATTGCTCATGCCCAATGCCGACAGCGCGTGCAGCCACCACTGCCTTCACATTTACAGCGAAACTATCTCGGGAGCTCCCACTGTCGTACCGTTGGCTCACTCGGCTGCTGCCGCCCGCCGTAACACGCAGTGACGTATAGGAGCACGAAAGAACAGTTGCTGAGCATTTGCTGTTTTCGCAATGAAGTTCGAAGAGCGACGAAAGTCCCTTGCGCTTTTCTGCCGGCTCCCGAACGGCAAGTTTTTGAATACCGCAAGCAGGGCATGCCGCACCTGCCACAAGTGCCGTCAGCAAGAGGGTGTCGCACAAAACAGTCGTTGCACAAACCTCATCGCGCTTGTCTTTCGTCTTTTTCGAAGAAGCCGAGCTTCTTTTCCGAAGCACTGACGAAAGAAAGTGCAGCGTCAATCCCTTCATTGCAGCCACTGTCGCTCGCGCACTCGTCGATGCCGCCATCAGGCCTAGCACATGTAGGCGCGTTCTCGTTCGTCGCCGTCGTTCGGGGCGCTTTACGCCGCCTTCTCTTGAGCTTGTGCTTCGTTCTAAACTTCTGTGGTCTCACGTTGCACTTTTTCGGGCTTGTCATCGCGGAAATATGCGTAGACGCGCAGAAAAGCAGACGGACCAAATGCCGATGGCCGCCACCAACACAGCTGACAATGACTCGGTAGCCAATGGCGATGCGGCTTAGGGTGCCGCGCATTTCAAACCGCTCAAACCACGTCATAAGAAGGCTTTTTTTTTTTTTTTTTTTTGCCCACGTACGAAACTGGTGGTCGTCGGAGCTGTAAGAAGAAGGCCGGACACAACTTTCCCAACCGATCGCGATGGCGGGCGGCACTGCGACGGGGAGCAGCGCGCAGTCAAAGATGGCCAATATCGGCGCAAATTTACGAAATTTTGAGCCACCGCGATGCCTTCATACACATTTTTTTGCATTTTGCGGTTCGAATTTAGTTTTGAAATTTTCACAGATGAAAGAAGGTTTGAAGATTACAATGCAATAAAAATCAGAAATACGAGAAATTTCGCTAAAAATGCGATTTTTCGACTCGCATCTCCCCTTAAACCTACTGCATGCTTTTAATAGCCAGCGACTGCTTTTAATAGCCAGCGACTAGCTGGGAATGCTGAAACGCCGATCGCTGCCTCCTCAATCGTTGTACAGGATCATGTTCAGTGTGCACTGCTTTGCAGAAACAAAAGCAACTTGCTGTTGTAGAGTTGTGCATGCTGTACCAGCTGCGGAGTTGAGAAAGTAGTAGGTGTGGTTGACCGTTGTGGATCGTGGGCACCGAGACCTCAATGGTAGCACACGCTTTCATGAGGTGGCAGCCCAAACGCCCACCCGTCCGCTGCCAGGACCGCTCGACGATGCTTAGTTCGCATCGTCGCGTTATTGCAACAGGCTTCTCTCCGCATCTGTGCACGATCTGAAGCAGTGTAGGCGCAAGCGACTCGGCACGGCGTGTTAGCCAAATAGGAAAAGCGCTGCGTGTAACTAGCCAGTGGATGATCGGCTCCCTGCGACCATAACTCTTTTCAAAAAATTAAATTTTCGTTAAAAAGCAGATCGCGGCACACATTTATCGCAGACAGTCGATAATGTCCATGTTGTTGCTGTGTCAGTCGCTGCGTCGGCTGCATATCCCAGTTTAGAAATGCTCTCTGGTGTCACCACCCCGTGCCATAGTCGTGTGAGACTGCCAATCATTTTTGAACATTGGCAAAAGGAAGAAACGGCATCGTGGTGAGCACTTTAAGAAAACCTGTGGTGGGCACTTTAAACAATATTGGCTATTGCACTGTATTCATGTTTTCCTTCTTCAGAGGTAATGGCGCACTTAAAGAAATCTGAATTGCTACTTGGTCATAGGCGTGCGCATGCAGGCGGGGAGGGGGGGGGGGGGGAGTGGCAAGGAGCCAGCCCAATACATTAACATACTTAGAGAGGGGGGCGCAAAGCCAGCCCTATATATTGACACCGTAGAGAGGGGGATTGCTGCAACGAATTTCACCCTCGCCCCCTCCCTGAAGGGGAATCCTGTGCACGCTTATGTTCTTGTGGGTTGATGCATACTACGTTTAGTGGGTAGTCAGCCTCTTTCCCAGCAGGCTGTTGGCATGTATGTATGTGTTAACGAGGTTTTACAGTAACGAGCTTTGCACGTACGTGTGTGTATGCATGCACGCTTCTATAAACTTTATGTTACAGCTAGCTTGTTAGTGAAATATCCTTCACTATTTTATGTCGCCACTTCTGTACATAATCGCACTTTTTTTATTTTGT